CCAGAAATAAACCACACAATACATATACAGAATACAAATCCTCTTTTTTTTCCTTTATGCTATTGTAAGCAGATGAGGGCTGCTGACCAAAAACATTGAAGATGGACAGAGAGGTTTACACCTTCCCCTCCCCACCAATCCTTTGTGAAGCTGTTTCTCTGTCTTTTTTTTAAAAAGCCAACAACTCAAGAGGACTCTAATTTATTTTAGAATTGAATCCTAAATCCTTCTTTTATGGCCTTGGACAGCAAATCACAAACTTTCTTTTTTCTTTTTTAACATAAAATCCATTCATTGTGTCATATCTTTTCATTTTAGAATGAATATAAGACACTATTTTGAAATTTTAGCTTTGTTTTGTTTTAAAATTCTTTCTTGAGAAATTTTCACATCAGGACGACAAGCGGTGGCTATTTTTTGGTTGTTTGTTTTTTTAAATAGTAATAAATTTTATCCTTAGATGATATATGGAACTAATTTGTATTTGTCAAAGACTAAGCACAGCAGAGTTAGAGTTTCTGGTGTAAATTGACAGCCACTGTTTCTTATTCTCCATGTTCTTTAAATTGAACTATTGAATCTAAAAATAAGTTGTGATCCTAAGTTTACAGTGGAAGAAGAAATACTCATGTATCTTTGATTATTGTATTTTACTTAAGACACGATTTCCCTTCAGAGAGATTGAATAACTTCAACCTCAAGTCTTTCATTTCTTATTAGTTAGGTAGAAGATGTGTAATTTTACAAGCAAAGTTAAAAGTGACATAGACAAACCATTATTTTTTTTAAAGGCCCAATTCAGAATTGAAGTGTACAGATTTTCCATGAATATGTTTTATTCCATTGTATGAAGGAAAGAGACAACCTCCATCCCCCACCCCAACACCTGTAATGTCAATTCCATTTTCTCCCAATAAGGCCAAAGCTGTTTGAAAAACTAAAGAATGCAGTTTGACCCCAGGAAATTTGTTCTCATTGGGCATTACAATGCTGTAAATGCAAATGCCAAAAATACTGTTATATATTGTATAGAATAAAATAATGTGGGCTAGGTTCTCAGAGAAGGTTTAATAGTGATAGTATAATGATATTTTTTTAAATTAGCAGACTAACTTTCTAGTGACTACAAGCAAGAAGATTAATAGGAGAAACTGATCAAAACTTGGAGGCAATTGCCTGTAGCCGTATCATGGCAGAAAAGATAAAAAATAATGCAAGTTATTATGACGTCTGGTCAAGATGATGATCTCTGTCTCTTTATCTGCAAAATTTAGGGCTGGTCTTGGAACAAATAATTTTGGATTTCCTTTTTGATTAAGTTTCAGAATGTCCTCTCAGTATACTGTAGTTGATTTTTTTTCATAATCCTTTTGTAATCAAATTCAGTCTGGATGAAATAAGTGAGAAGTTTTGACTCCCTGGGCCTTTCTCAACCTGGCATTCTCTAGATATGTTGGGACTGCAGGTCCTAGAATTCCCAGCCAAAGCCTTTTAATCTTTTCAAAAGTGGAAGCTCCTGATCATGGGGATCTCTCGCATGCAATTCAGGTTGTACCCTCAGAGTATAACTGTTTACATAACACAGAATACAAAACGATATTATGTTATATCTCTTCAGAGAGAAGGTGGGGGGAGCACCATCTAAAGTTGGCATGATGCAAGCTAGAAATAATACAAGTGTTTTTTCCTTGAATTTCACCTGAGTGAACTTTATCCATAGGCATGGTGCCTTCACTAATGAAGGAGATGTAAAACATGATGTGTGTTCATTAAGAAGGGACCCCTTTGCAGTCAGGGGAGCTTCCCAGATAATACAGAATTGCTTTTATAAAGTGATTCTCTTTTCAGTGGCTTGTAGTGTAGGGTCTGAATGCCTATTTTGCAAGTCCAATATTCTCATCCACAATATGCTGACTTCACACAAAGTGTGAGAGAAACCTCAGCGCCTTTTTATTTTATATAATGTAAGAAAACATTCAACAATTCGTCATCTCTGAAATGCAAGTTAATTAACCAAGCCAAATAGCCTTCAATTTGCTGAGAAGACTGGTGGTTAATTTTTTAAAAAATGATTTCCTTTTGAAATTGCCCTGCCATAAAGAAATGGTGCAATATGACATCTCTACAACATCTTAATTAAAACCTTAACATAAGAATCTTTCCAGATGAAGGGGGAAATGCCGTTCTATTTTTACTGGTTTATTAGTGCTACCTCCAATTTAGCAAAAGAAAAAGATGACTTGGCTTGACTCAGAATCTAATACTAGACTGATAATTTTACAATAGGCTATTTAAAAGAATGGAAGTCATGGGGACCTACCTAAGAGTTCCCTGCTTTCTGATGAAATTGTATTTACGAGGAATTAAATGGGTCTGTGTTAGGATAGGTTAGTGGTTTATATAGTAGTGTAAACAAAGCTGGCAGTGAGTAAGTATCGGAAGAAGTCTGGTATGCATATTTGATGATATAGCTAAGACCACTCTTTCAGCTTATGGGGCTTAAAATAATATAATTCATCATCATTGTTATAATAATTAACCACTGCCATTCCTCTGCTTTCAGGAAAGGATCTTTGGCTAGAGGTAAAACTGAGGCTTGCTATATCTACAGCAGCACAGCTATAGTTTTTTTGAGTGCTATATTAAATTATTCTTGAGCATCATTTTAGAATCAGTACCTGATATGTTTCAATTACCTGCTATATCACAGCCGTGTTCTTACAGAGCAGCTCATTGCCAGATGGCTCAACTTGGGAACAGAGAGAGTGCATATTTGCAATATTTTGGAACATCCCAGTAATTATGCTGTACACCATACTACTTTCTCTTTAAGTAAGATACTTACGTTACCACTACATTTTAATCATTATTTTACATTTTAAGAAAAGGAATAATGTTCTAACTATAATACTGATGGCAGATTAGGTCTTTTTTGTACTTGTAAAACATTTGAGGAATGCATCTGGAGTCATGATGTCCTTCTGTCTGAGGTTCTGTTATGATTTTAGATGATTTTAACTCTAGAGCTCCACAGGAACAAAGTCTAAAATGATACCTGCAGACATCACAGAAGCTGTGACTTCTGTCCACGATTCTGACTCAAGTTGCAGAAAGCAGAATATTGCTGGATTTATACATTATGCTAAGCCTTAATGTGATTTATTTGGTTTTGGCTTAACATATCATGTGAACCCAGTGACTGTGATTTGTATATTGTGTGAATTCAGCCATTGTGATTTATTTAATAACCTGTGGTTATGCAAATGATAGATTAGCATGATATTTGAAGCCAGACTTTGTGTAGAGCATAATCTGTTGCTAGTAACCCAAAATCATTTTTTTTTTAAATTTCAGGATAGCTCCTATTAATAACACCAAGTCTCATGTTATTCCAAGGATCACATCTAATTGAAGTATTAAGCAACCAAGGTTCGCTTGGGATATTATCCTGCTGAGTAGCAGGACATTTCAGTCTTTCCTCATTGTCCACCCCAATTCCACTTATAGTAACTGATCAGACTTGCAACTAAATTTTACTTCAGCACAGATGATGGAACAATGTTCTCCATCTCAGCTAAGATCAGCAAATAAGTTTAGATAGTATAAGTAAGCAGCTTAAAATACACAGCTCTGACCTTCAGTAGAGAGGAATGCTGAGAAGGTTAGCCATTTTAAAAACCTCCAGATGTCTTTAGACTCTGACTGGAGTAGGAGAACAAGCTGATGCTGAATTCAGACAAGACAGAATTATTTTGATTCTGGAAGCTATACAGTTGAACATTTAATTTAGTAACTTGTCTTGGATGAAGCTGCATTCCCTCTTAAGGAACAGATTCGTTGACTAAGGATCCTCCTAGATCTAGCTTTGATACAAACAACCATGTAAAATCTATGGCAAAGTAGCCCTTTATCCAATTCAGCTAGTAAATCAGTTGTGACCCTTTGTGGAGGAGAGACACAATCAAGGTTGGATTACTCCAATGTGCTCTTCATAAAGTTGCACTGGAAGATGGCACAGAAGTTGTAACTGACTTAGAAGGCTGTGGCCTAATTGGTGAATGACACCTCTCAGAGTCATCCTGGTGTTCAAACAGCCATACAGATTGCTGGTTGCTTTCTGAGTCAGATTTAAGATGCTCACTTCGATGTGCAAAGCTTTAACTGGTTTAGGCCCAAGTGATTTGCAGGTTTCCTCCCATACACTCCATCTTAGGCAGGTTCTACCATGGATATGTCTAAAATATATATAGGGAAATCTGCTTATTTGCTGATGGAGCCTTTATTTGAGGAAGAAACTGCCAGTGGA